AACTTCATTCGTAAGTGGAAAGTATTCATTGACTTCAGTGGAAGAGTAAAATAGTCACTTATTTTATTTTTGGTTTCTTGCATAATTTTTACTTATAATTTGGGCTTCAAACTTGAGAATTCGACTTAAAACTTATAATTTTGTTTTTTCAACTCGTAATTTCAACTTTGCACTTGTAATTCTAACTTTGAAATCATTATTTTGACTTTGAACTTCACAACTGTAATTTTGACTTTGCGATAAAAATTTGAATTTATAGAGCATGTAGTTTGAAATATCTGGTGACTCTTCAGAGCATGCTCTATAGTTCTATAGCATTGCTCTGAGGGTATTTTTCAATTACTTACATATTTTGTTTATATGGGAAATGAAAGTGACTGAAAAGTTAAAGAAGAATGATTCCCAAGAGTTATTTATTATTTTATTCAACATATCATGCCTTATGGATAAAGAGTTATATTTTATCCTTTTTGGGATTGTTGTCAAGCTTTCTATATTTCAAGAAGTCCCAGACCTATTCAAATAACTCTTTATTGTGAAATTTTCACTGGACAATTCACAAAACTGCAACACGTGTTTCACTATACAATAGCTTCCTCAGGAACATACGATATTCTGAGGGATAATCCTACAACTCTGTACTAAAATGAGGTAAAGGAAACCTTTAAGTCATGGTTATGAATATAAGTGATAAACGCAGTGATCATAAACCTACAACCACCCACTAAGATACATAAAACTAATTTTCCATTTAGACCTGTGTTGTCGTTTGTAACTGCTCCATCTGTTCATACAATAACATATTAATTTCAAACTGCGATTTAGGAAAAATGATATATATATCAGTCAATATAATAATGATAATGGGGAAACCCATTGAATCCTTTGCTGGCTGAATTTTTGTGGATAACTTTGAAAATGAAATTCATAATAATCAGTTGATCAACAATTTCTTGTACTTGTACAAATATGTAGATGATATCTTGAGGCCGTTTTACTGGTACAGGTAGGCATTTGGGCAACTTTGTCGAATTTGTCAATTCCATTCACCCATCAATTAAATTCACCACCGAAAATAAGGTGAATAAATCAATAAATTTTCTTCATTCGACTCTCACTAAGATTAATAATAAGCATGAAGTAGCAGCATTCAATAGTATGCTTCACAGAGTATTGAATATTTCACAGTCAGAAAGTAATTTTCAGAGAGGAGTGAGTTTTATCAAACAAATTAATGTCAACAACGGCCATAAGGTGAATATGATTGACTCCAATCTTTCCAAAAAACGACAAAAAAAGACATTTACCAGATCTTTCCCACTTGAAAAAACGATAATGATCATCATAGGACATTAACATACTTTAATGAACCCACCAATAACAGCTTATTTTTTTTTAAAGAAAGACTTACTTAAAACAATAAAGACAAAACTTCAGTGGCTTCAGAAGGCTTATTATGACTATTCATTTCAATATAAAGACTCTAAAAAATTATGGAAAAACCTAAAGAATATTAATAATACAAAAAGTAATACTGATTTACCAATTCCTTTGCAAAATCCTGAAGAAATCAATAATTATTTTGCTTCAGTATTTATTGATGATGATATTGATAACAACCTCCTAGAATACTACAATAGTAATAAATATCCAAAATTAAAAAATCAAGAAAGTGTGTTCAAATTAAAATTCATCTCAGTTGATCAAATGAATGAAGTCTTAGCTACTATCAAATCGAATTCCACTGGTTTTGATGGTTTATCCATCAATATGATTAACTATTGTAGTCCGTTTATAGATAATTTTCTCACTCATATTTTGAATTGTTGCTTAGAAAAATGTTATTTTCCTAATCTATGGAAAATTGCCATTGTCAGACCTTTGAGTAAAGTTTCGAACCCAGTGAACTACACTGACCTACGTCCTATAAGTATTCTCGCTAGCTTTCAAAAATATTAGAAAAACTCATTCATCATCAAGTAAGTTCATATCTATATGAAAATTATATTATTCCTGATTGTCAAGCCGGGTTCAGAAGTGGGTATAGTACATCTGCAGCCCTCGTTCAGGTTACAGATGACATAATTCGAAACTCTGATAATAAAGAGTTGACAGCTCTAGTTGCCTTAGATTTTTCGAAGGCATTTGATACTATAAATCATTCTCTATTATGTTTCAAATTGAAATATTATGGATTCTCGGATNACAACATGTCCCTTTAAAGAGTTGTTAAATTAGTTTGATTTTTAATTAGTTTATACCTAAACTCACCTAAAATTATTAGTCAATAAGTACCCAGAAGGTCATATGATTAAAATTGTTATATAAAGCACTAAATAGGTAAAATTTTATTCAGTATGAAAACGCCTGAGGAAGTTATTGTATATCGAGGTTTGATATCCTACAAGTATTTACCAACAGATTTACACTTGACTTGTTGAATTAGAAATGACAGAACAATTTGTTACAATCCTGTATTCTAAGAAGAATACTTCGAAATTTCTTAAAAACTGTATAAAAACTTTCTGTAATTCATTATTTCACTATTTATTGTTGTGGAAACTTGAATCTGATGAACAGAGGAGAATGTTATGCTAGTAATTGAGTTGATCCATTTCAACATTCAACACCTGTATTTAGGTTATCTGCTCATTGCCAGTATATATATAATAAATACAATGTGTTCGTGATTTGTATAGAGTAACGAATTTGAAATGAAGGTGTATGAAAATCATTTACATACTTAAGAAATGCTAAAAATTTGTGGACCGATTTTCACTTTCAGGTTGAAATTATGAATTTGAAGTATGTACTTGAATATTTCAGATTTAATCAAAATCACAAGTTTAAAGTTGTAATTGAGAAAGTTGAAATTACAAGTTTGAAGTTAAAATTACAAATACAAATATGAAATTTTTGGGAAAGAAGTTTTTGGCTTTCTACTACTCCATCTTGATACAGAAAAATGTGGGAATCTTCCAAAGAAATATCAAAGAGGTTACGTACAGCGCCATCTGCCCGCGAATGGATCAAGCAATACTGTCGATAATTCTGTCAATACAGATCCCGAGCTTGTGAGTTACAAACAAACATACATACAGATGAAGCTAATATAAAGCGTGTAAAAAAGTGTTTTCTGTATAATTCAGTGTTATATTTATTTCAAAAGAATTTTTCTTTCGTGTAATTCAATGTTTATATGAAAGTAGCTGTTTCAGGAAGGCTTTTTCTNATCCTAACGGATATGTAGGTGAGTAAGACAAATATATTTCGGAGGGGTGTACCCAATTTTTTTTATCCCTTGATTTGACTTCGCAGTTCCTTTTGTTATTAATTTTTATAAAATCGCTTCATCCTAAATCATGAATAAAAATCAAGTCACATGTATAATTTTAATTCTTCAGTGGTGGATATGATACATTTTTTATTAATAAAATTTGAAAAATTCGTGGCTCCACCAAATTTATTTCGTACTTTTAGAAAAGTGAATGTTTGAACTGGATTATGTTCTAATAACGTTACTGTTAATTTGGAAGATATATGTTTTTCCCACCTAAACGAAGACCAGCAAATGAAAAAATACTGAGAACCTAATTGAAGCAAATACCCATTGAAGTTCCACTTTTGCATGAAACTAGATAGTGGCAGTGAATGGATCCAATTCATCCAATCCATTTATTCCTAGACTACCTGTTCAAAAACCAACCTCCTTAGCCGATTTTGGTTGTGGCAAGGTGTGCCATCATGTTGGTAATATAACATATGACTTCTGTCAAATGGTACATCTTCCAACAAATTTGATAAACCATTTCGGAGGGAATCTATAAATGTCTCCGTTCAGAGGCCCATTAAAGAAATATGGTCCTATGACGTGATCCCCAATTATGCCCCACAAAAAATTATCGGACTAGGGTTTTAAAAAAAAAATTCAACATCTTGCATCTGGAAAACAATGCATACCTGGACTCTTTTTCCATAAAATCAGCTCCTGAACATGCCTCTACATTTTTTATCTCAATTAAGAAACAGCCTGTATACTGCTGTAGAACATGTTATCTGCCATGAAAAAAAACATTCAAACTCATATAGGTACTCATTTGTCAAATGTTCAGTATTACATTTTCTGAAAGTAGTTAAAGATTTCAAGGAAACCTCTCAACTAGAGTTTCATGTTGAATAACTTTTTTCGAGATCAATTGCCCTAACACCAAACTGATATTTTTGCACTCGACGCGAGTTTCGCCAACAAATTTAACATCTTCAGGAGAAAAAAATTGATACCTAGTCTAGTCTGGTTAATCCTTATATACTAAAATTTGTTACCTGAGGTTGTATACCTGAAGTCCAATATGGAATTTCTCGGTAATTAACTACCTGCAAGTTCTTAGTAATTATTCTCTTCCTAACAGAAGATTAAAAAGCGGGCTGAACGGGAGGAGTCCCTTATCGCCATTCATGCTGTTATTTTATTTTGCTATTTCTAGACTCTCACATGCATCGAGTAGCCTGGTGTCATGTACATTATTTTCCAGCAGCTTGACTGCATTAACCTTTCTAGATTTCATATCATTTCTAGAAACATGTGGATTCGTTTTCCGATAGCATTTCAGGTTAGCTTCCCAAATTTCTGCTACCGCAGTTGTCGGTTGATTGGTCAAACCACCAACACTGACATAAAANCTTTTCTCAAGTTATGCAATTTCAATATTAAATAGTTTAACTTAGTTTAAGTTATCACTTCTGTCGAGCATCTCGAGACGCACCCGTTTTTTTATTCCATGAAGGTATTATTGTTACAATATATGTATATTCAGTATATTCAACACCTCCATCCTAAAACTGTATTATGTTTGTAAATCATCAAACACTTACTCAAAATTTATTTTTTTATTTTTTTTTTAATATTTCATGAATGTATTACTATTAGGATACGTATATATTTCTTATATTTAGCTCTTTCATCTCAAAATTGTTTACTGTGTCTTGTAATTGGGTATAGTACCTGTTTGAAAGTTTTTTTTTCGTGTATTTTTGATATTTCAAAATCTTCATTCTTTCCTTAGGTGTTATGTGGTCGATATGTGGTGTTCATGACCAAGGATGGAGGGAACGAGAAATATTTGGGAAAATTCGTTACATGGTCGATTATAGTTTGAGACGTAAATATAATATGGATGCTTATTGTGCAAGATTTGGGCGCAAAATTCTGGGAGATTCCAAAACAAAAGCTGCTATTATACCTAAGGAGCCGAAAGAATCGAAGGGAAAAAATGAAACAAAAAAAGGAAAAGGAATTAAACGAAAGGCTACTTGAATTTGAAATTATATTTGAAATGAAACTTCACATGTCATAGACATCTGCACAAATTATAATTAATTTGTTTTGAAATGCAACTGAATACCTCTTGAACTACCTCACATATTTTTACCTGTATTTTAAGGTTTTGGTTAATAAATGTTTTTATACTTTATATACACTTTTAATTAATTTTCAACTCGCTTTTTCGAAATTTTCAATAGTAAAAAGTTTTTAGAGGATAATATGATCAGAGTCTACTACATAGTAAAAATCAACCAGTGATTTCTGAGCCTTTGACACTCATAGTTAATTCCACTTTTATTGAGGGGAGGTTTACTGATATACTGAAAATGTCAAAGGTATTGCCAGTATACAAAAATAAGGGCTCTCGATCTTACTATATCGCTACTTAGTCAGTTTTCTAAGATTATTGAATACTGTTTCTATCAAAGATTATATGATTACTTTGAATCATTCAGATTATTTTCTTCTAGTCAAAATGCTTATAGAAGCCAAAAACTTTTTTTCCCAAAAAGAAATAAATCTACAGTTGGTGCAATTGATCAACTCATTAAACATACGCTGGAAATCTTGGAAAACAAACAGCAGACTTCAGAATTATTTTTTGATTTGAGCAAAGCTTTTGACCTCGTTGATCATGACATACTGTTATACAAATTGCAGTTTTATGGTATACGTGGCTCTGCATTGAATTGGGTTGGATCTTACCTGACTGATCGTAGTCAGCTGGTCTGTGTGAATGGAATGAATTCTGAAAGAAAATGTATATCAAGAGGGGTACCTCAAGGCTCTGTTTTGGGACCCCTTCAATTTTTTGTTTTTATAAATGATCTTCCGAAATTTTGTTCAAAAGCTTCCATTACTCTTATTTTTGCGGACGATACTAACATCTTAGTATCTGCGGGAACTATGTCCGAAGTAATTATCAAAGCTAATGAAATGCATGAATTTGTAATTAAAAATACAACAATTGATAAAAGCTATTTGATCAGATCAAATAATGAAACTTCACATCAAGTTAATTTTACTAAATTCTTAGGTGTTGATGTTGATAATAAACTTACCTGGAAGTTCCATGTTGATAATGTCAAACTAAAGCTCAGTAAACATATATATTTACTTCGCCGGTTAAAACAGTCTCTCTTGATGTTCTCAAGCTTTTATACCACAGTTTAATTCAGTCAGTGATTTCCTATGGTCTTGAACAATGGGGCTTATCAGCTAAAGCTAATATTGGTACTTTTCATGAAAAAACCTAATTCCCACACCTTTTCCAAGTAAAAAAGGTACACCTTCTCAATAACGCTGGAGGTGATCGTTTTCGAGATATTTACAGTTTTCTATACCGATGCATACTACTTTATAGCCAAATTTGATTTCAATAATTTTTGTCACTCTCTGCTTGCAAATTAAGTTAATTAAATCGAGCAGGCTATGAAAGTTTGTCTATACAAATAGAAGTTAGCTGTCACATTTTTAACTATTAATTGACAAATTCACAGTTCGGAGTTTATAAAGTGATTTTTTGGTACCATGTCCGACTTTACGAATGTTGAAATGGCTGATTTAGTTTTTACATACGGCTTGGCTGACGGAAATTCAAGCGAGGCCAGACGCATCTATCAGGAAAGGTATCCTCAACGCGTGACTCCTTGTGCAGCGACATTTGCGAATCTTTTCCGGCGACTTTCCGAATCTGGAGGTTCTGAAACAAATTCTGCAGTAGGACGGCCACAGGCTACAAAATTATATCGTTATCATATTCAGCGTGTCCAGGCACTTACGCTACGTGACTTCCAACCACGTATCGAATTTGCTCAATGGCTTCAAAGAAAAGTCAAACAACATCCGCAAATTTTATCGAAAATCCTCTTCACAGATGAGGCTAATTTTTCAAGAAATGGTATCATGAACTTCCATAACAACCACATCTGAGCGGAAGATAACCCACATGCGATAACGCAAACTCATTTCCAAGACAGATTCTCTTTTAATGTATGGAAAGGCATAATTGGGGATTATTTAATTGGGCCCTATTTTCTCCCCTTACGTTTGAACGGAGATGCTTACCTACATTTTTTGGAACACGAGCTTCCCCAACTTATGGAAGATGTTCTCATTGGTCTACGAAATCACTCTTGGTTTATGCACGATGGAGCTCCTGCTCATTTTGGTGTGATAGCAAGAAATTTTTCAGACGCATATCCCCAACGATGGATAGGAAGAGGAGGCACTGAGCATTGGCCCCCGAGGTCACCGGACCTAATCCCGTCGATTGTTCCTTTTGGGGACACCCAAAATCACTAGTTTATGCTAGCCCCATTGAAAACGGGAAAATGTTGAGGGATCGCATCATAGCTTGCTGCGAAACGATAAGAAACACTCCGGGCATTTTTCAACGGGTGCGGAATTCTTTGATGAGGGGAGCAGAAACTTGTATTATTGTTGGGGGTCGTCACTTTGAACAGTTGTTGTAATAGTTGTTTCGTTCAATTTTTATATGTTTATTTTCCTAATAAATAACATAGTACTTCTCCGAATAAATTTTTTTTTACAAACTCCGAAATGTAGCACTTTCTAATTGAATAATTAAACCTGACACATTTTTTAAATTTGCATTGAATAAGCAGTTCGATAATGCTCGGTTTAGAAGAAGTCTGTACGGGTATACTGCGTATAAAGTTTGCAAAAAATTGCAAAAAACATGACAAAAACCTACCATGTTTTGAAAAATTTCAACAATATGTATTTCGAAAACGAATCATTCTTCGTTAAACATTTTATAGGAAAAATTTGTTTATTTTGACGAGATCCACCACATACTTAGTTTTTGTAATGTTCTCAGCAACTTCACTTAGCGCCCTAGGAGCTAAGTAATATGCATCGATATAGAAAATTGTAAATATGTCGAAAACGATCACTCCAACAATATGGCACTTTCAGAAATGGTTTGGATTAACTTGTCCAGTGAACCATTTTTTTCCGGTATGTATGGGCACCGATATTTACCGTCTGATTTCCTCTCTGTCATAAATTGATTTCAATTATTGTTGATGTATGACCGCAAACTTTTAAAATAAATACAGTCTCAAAGTGTGAAAAGTCATCTTTGAAAGTAGAAAGTATTTAGAACCTCCTAAAGATAATTCTTCCATTGGATCATAATGTACCAACTCTGATACTTTTACTCTTTCGTGAGCTTCATGGAATTAATCATATGTTTCCGGTTTTCTTTTATCTGGTGATTTTTTCTGGGCAAATTAAAAATGAATAAACTATCCATTCATTAGAAAAATTGTCATTTTTCTGGCTTCATCAAATGAAGTTTTGAAATTCAGGACATTCTGATCAGTTCCAGAGATATTCGAAAAGAACCAAATTCGCAAATTTTGTTTTATTTTTTTAACATTATTTAAGATAATGTTGAATAACAAAGAACATTTTCCCACGGTGTTTACAGATTTTCAATCCAGCTTTTCGTCTTCAATAAACCATCATTAATTTTCTTATGTGGAACAGAAACAAGAATCATACTTTATAAGTTGACCTTTTTAGTAGCAACTCCACTGATGTATCACACTTAATCGGAATTTTTTAATACCGGCCCTTTCTATCAACGTGTTAGGAATCACACGTTGAAAGGTAAGTCCTTAGCTCTCACAAGTTTCTCAACTTCTGAGAGTTGTCGTTCATATGGGGGCGACAGCTGATTAACGGAAAAACAGATTTTAAACAGATCAGCAATAGACCTAATTTTTAGAAAAGTTCCTTCATTTCTCATCATATAGGTTCTACCTTCTCCAACATCAACGATTTGACCTTTCTGCATGAGTTTTCAAAGGTTACTGTTTGAATTTATTGTTATCCCTTTANGAAGGACTTCGCGTGGGCAAAATTATGGATCAGGGCATCCTCGAAAACATTGAAAAGAATTATAGGCGTTTGTTCTTTGCACTTTTGTTAGCATACACAGAACAAGAAGATAGAATTATCGATGGATTGAGAAAAGATTACACTAAAGCTTGTTATGTACTGGGTGAGTCAAGCTTGGGATTCCACTATTCAAAAATCTTGGTCAAAAGTTATTGACTTTGAGGACTCTTATGACAGAAAAGAAGATATTACATTGAATGATTTGGCTTCTAAATTGAAAAGCCGTGAAGGTCCCGGTTCTGTCAATGGCACAGAGAAAATCAAGGAATAAGAAAAAAGTTTGTTTGAAGTAATGCGAGCATCAGAGGGCTGCGAAAATATGATAAGTATCGAAGAAATAACGGATGCTTTGCAGGAAACCGGAGAAGTCGTTGACGATGACGAAGTGGTAGATGAAGAGCCTGCCACTAAGATATCCCATCAAGAAGGTTTTGCTGCTTTAGAAAAGGCTTTAATTTATATTGAGCAGCAACCAGAGGCAACACCTGCTGATCTGTTTGAAATCTGTTTTTCCGTTAATCAGCTGTCGCCCCCATAGGAACGACAACTCTCAGAAGTTGAGAAACTTGTGCGAGCTAAGGGCTAACGAGGTCATACCTTTCAACGTGTGATTCCCAACACGTTACACGTCCTACTACTTCTTAATAGATGGCGAAACATTGCAGTTAGAAAAAAAGGATGCACTATGAAACAGAAGTGAATAGATAGTTATTTTACTGTTTTGTAATGTACTTATTATCTACATTCCACATATCTAGGAACATAAATAATGTTTTATTGGGCGAATAATAAATAAATCCGGATTATTCGAGTTTTCATTTATCCGAGATGGGTTCCCCCCATTACCTCGGATAACCGGGGTTCTACTGTATATCCTTAAAAATCTCCATGCCTACAAAAAGGCAGTTTCAATATTGAACTATTTCACTTTCAAATCACGCAAGCTGAAGAAAACGTTCAACAATTAAACATGCTTTATAGTTTTCGACTCCTCCCAGACCTGTAATTTCACTCATGAAAATCCAATTATTTTTTATTGATACCTGTAAGGTATCAATAAAAAATGAGGATGTAAGGAATCGATTTCGCAATTCATTTCTTGCTTCCATTATGTAACTTTCATACCAAATATCCTAAAGTTTTCAGTTGTCGGTTTCTTTCAATCCGTAGCATATATGAAGAAATGCCATTCACTCAACTAGTTCTATTTCGGTTTAG